GGTACATTGACGCATGTTGGCGTGCAAAAGAGTCATGAGTGCAAGCCTGTCGAAGTAGTAGTGCCATTTGTTCGTCTAGAAAAATGTGAACACGGCGATGTAAGCAAACATATTGTTCAGTCTTTCAAACAAATAGGAAGAATGCTTGAAACTGACCAGGAACTCGTTCAAAATATATTTAGATTACTGAGAGAGAGCGGCAGATCTACCAACTCGCCGATTTATGTTGTCTCAAAGAATTTTTTCCCTGGTTCCAGGCCTTTCGCCGCAGTCTGGACCATCCTCTGGAGTGCACTCTCGCTGACTTCCATCTTATCGTCCCCAAATCCTCTCTCACGCTCTTTAAAAACTGGATATAGGTGTTGCCGGAGCATCTGCTGCGATTACAAGTGATGCTGTGATGACTCCTTTTGATGGTCGGTAATCCTCCTGATATAGAGATTCTCTTGAAGGCTCATCATCGCCCTCTAGTTATCAAACAGCGAATGCAAATACATAATTCTGCTTTCCGATCCGTGATCACATGCGCCAGAACTATATATCGAACAGAAGGCTTCGGGGCCTTCTATGTATCGTATCCTACAACACTATTGATGACAATACCTTTCACCGCGGTCCAATTCTCTGTATACGACCATACTCTCGACATGATCAACCCAACCAGATCTTACGATCCATTGTCGCATGTCGCAGCTGGTGGTTTGGCAGGAGCCGTCGCTGCTGCCGTCACTACACCCTTGGATGTAGCTAAGACACTGCTACAAACCAGAGGTACTAGTCACGATGCTGAGATAAGAAAAAGCCAATGGTATCCGAGATGCTGTGAGGATTATATGGCGAAGAGATGGACTAAGAGGGTTTGCTCGAGGATTGACACCAAGAGTATTGACGTTTGTACCGAGCAATGCACTCTGTTGGATGAGTTACGAGTTTTTCAGTAAGCCATCAAGTCACCTCCTTTCTCCTTATACTGACTCTCGTGCTACAGAAATGGCGCTGCGAATCCGTGGCAGCTCACAAGCACCACCGTAGGCATCGCAGGAGCGGTATATAACTTGATTTGTTAAGGACCTTTGTTGGTTGTAAGGAGGGCGTGAAGAGGGTTGTTGAGTATGTTTGTGTATATTCTTTGCGCCAATATTACGGGGTTGATTAAAATATACATTGTAAAGAAGGAATAAGGATGCTAGTGCGATAGATAGTGATCAGAGGCCCTCAAAGAAAGATAAATCCTGTGCTGATAGTCCCCCACTGGTAGATTTGCCATTACCTGAGTAAGTTACGGGCTTCGACGCGAGCTTGCTTGGCTGTACTAAGGATGGCATTGTATTGGTGGGTGGACCAATCAAACTAGCGAGATCTCCCATGCCAGACGAGGTAGAGACATTATCGGTTGCAGAGGTGGCTGCAGCACTGCGTTCATTGAGAAGATCTATCGAAGGCGCAGGCCGTGAAAATCGACTTCCGGGAGGCGGTGGAAGTAGAGGAGCGATTTGAGGTGTTGAAGGGGTCGAAGACCGACTTGTAGAGGTATTCATTATTGCAATCGTCGAGGAACGTGA